CCTAAAGTTGATATTGAAGGTCCAGAATTTGATGTTGAGGGTCCTGATGGAAAAATCAAGGGACCTAAATTCAAAATGCCAAAAATTTCTGGGCCGAATATTAATTTGCCTGACTTCAATCTGAAAGGACCCAAAATAGAAGGTGACCTGAAAGGACCAAAAGTAGATATCAGTGCTCCTGAAGTTGACATTGGTGCTCCCGATTTCAATATTAAAGGAGGAAAAGTCAAAGGACCCAAAATAGAAATGCCTAAGTTGTCTGGACCTAACATCAAAATCCCTGATGTTGACTTCAACTTGAAAGGTCCAACGGTTGAAGGTGGAATCAAAGGACCCGAGGTGAACTTTGAAGGGCCTGATGTGCAAGGGCCAGAAGCTGGAATAAAGCTGCCCAAAATCAAAATGCCTAAATTTGGTGTAAAAGGTCCAAAATTTGAGGGTCCTGAAGTTGATGTTGGCATGAAAACAGATGTTAAACTCCCAGAAGCAGATGTTAGCCTTGATCTTCCTGACACTGATGTTAATATCAAAGGAAAGAAAAGCAAATTTAAAATGCCAAAAATAAAGGGGAAGGTAAAGAAGCCGGATGTCGACATAGGTCTCAAATCTCCTGACATAGATTTGGAGACACACTCACCAGATATTCATGTAAAAGGTCCTAAGGTAAAGAAGCCATTATTTGGGATGCTGCATTTCCCAGATTTGGAGCTTGATATTAAATCCCCCAAGATTAAGGGTGATGGGACTGTTTCAGATTCCTTGAAAACTCCAAATATGGATCTTCCATCTGCTGGTGTCAAAGCTGACATTAAAACTCCTGTTGTTGACATACCAGATGTTAATGTTGAGGGTCCTGATGTAAAAATGAAAAAGTCCAAAATCAAAATGCCTAAATTCAATATATCAGGTCCTAAACTTAAAACTCCTGACATTGACATAAAAGGTCCTGGTCTTCATGCACCTGATGTAAATGTTTGTGTGCCTGATGTTGATGTCAAAGGCCCTGATATGAAAGCTAAACTCAACCTTGAGGGACCAGAAGGAAAACTAAAGGGTCCCTCTTTAAACATTGAAACATCAAAAATTGCAGCTCCTGATTTGTCTTTGAAAGGAACTAAAGTAAAGGGAGACCTGGATATATCTGGTGAAATTAAAGGGCCATCTGTGGAAGGACCAGATATAAACCTCGAAGGCCCTGATGGTAAGATGAAGGGCCCTACATTTAAGATACCAACTGTTGACATAAAGGCTCCTAAAATTTCTGGCCCTGAATTTGATTTGAAAAAACCCAAAATTAAAGGTGATATTGATGTTTCAAGTGAAATCAAAGGTCCAAAGGTTAATGTTGAGGGGCCAGATGTAGAATTTGTTGGACTTGATGGAAAGGCTAAAGGCCCCACAGTTAAAATGCCTACTATATCTGGTCCAGGAATTTCTGTACCAGATGTGGACCTCAAGCTGAAAGGTCCAAAAGTAAAAGGAGATGTGGATATGCCCCTTCCAGCAGTCAGAGGTGACGTGAAGTCACCAAAAGTTGAGATTGAGGGTCCAGCTATTGACACTGAAGGTGGATTCAAGATTCCTAAGATAAAAATGCCCAAATTCGCTCTGAAAGGACCTAATGTTGAAAGTCCTAATGTTGACATCAACTTAAAAACAGCTGACATTGGCATCAAAGGGCCTGAAGTTGATATCGAAGGTCCAGGACTTCATGTTGAGGGTCCTGAAGGAAACATCAAAGGACCTAAATTGAAGATGCCATCCACTTCTGTGTCAATGCCTGGTGTAGATTTTAACTTGAAAGCGCCGAAAGTTTCTGAAGGGGATCTTAATGTCAAAGCTGAGGCAGGGGAGCATGCAGAAATGTCATCAGTCACCATTCCAAAAATCAAAGTTCCAAAGTTTGGAATTGCTCTGCCCAAACTTGAAGGGCCAGAAGTAGGAGTAGATATTGGTTCAGGTGGGGCAGTTGGTGGAGGGTCTGTTAGCATGCAGGCCTCTGGAGCTAGCACCACCTTAAGCTCTCAAAGTCTTGAATTGGAGGGTCCTGAGGTTAAAACTGGTGGTGGAAAAACAAAAGTCAAGTTGCCCAAGTTGTTTGGCAAGTCAAAAAGCAAGGGCGGTAGTGCAGCAGACCTGAGTCTTCAGGGACCGAGTGTGGAAGTGTCTGGTAGTGGTGGTGGTGTAAAAGGTTCCAAAGGGCTGAGTGTAAGTTCTGGCGAATTGCCTGGCAAGAGTGCAATTGAGGGAGGTCCTGGCATCAGTGTGTCACCTAAAACCAAGTCTGCATCGCTAGATCTGTTCAAAAAATCCCGACATCGATCTTCCTCCTTGAGTGACGAGGGAGGACTGGCTTCCCCTTCCTCCCCCAGTGGTCATCTCCAAGCAGAGGGGGGAGCCTCCCTGGAGGGTGGGGAGGTTAAGGTCAAGGGTAAAAAAGGAAAGCTGAAGTTTGGCACGTTTGGTGGCTTTGGCTCCAAGTCGAAAGGCTCATATGAAGTGTCCCTGGGTGAAGAAGCTGAAGCTCAGGTAGAGGGAAGTGGTGGAGTTTCTTTGCCCTCCAAGAAGTCCCGGGTATCTTCATCATCCAGTGGTGATAGTGCGGCTAAGGGAGGTTTTCGTTTTCCACGTGTCGAACTTTCAGTGTCACCTAAGAAATAATCTAATGAGCCATGTCTCCATCCCCTTCTTTTCCTAGCCATTTTCTTCATTCTATCTATATGACTTGGTCCATCTCCAGCCCTGACTCTTATAAATTTTAAGTTTAAACAACAACTTGATTTTCAAAATGTACATCTCCAGTACACTGATGCACTGCTAGGGAAGCGCAAAGGTAATTTAAAAGACACTGGAGTAAATTTTGTAGTTTTGAAAATCATCCTTTAAGTGTAAATAAGAAATTGAACCTGTTTTGTATTTTTTTTGTACATAATCACGTTTGTTTAGCGTATCCTGTCTTAGACACAGTGCCTTAAGTACAAATGTTAATAGTAAAGGAATTCTTCAAATCTTTTAAAACTTTTGGTAGTAGGCGTGCTATTTTTTATCTTAAAAATGTAATAGAAATGAGGAATTTCAAAGTCTGCAAAAGTTCATGATTCAAAATGTTTAATAAAGGATTGTGTATACTTTATACTCATTAATCAGAAAACAGCTGTTATTGATATATATTTTAACAAAAGATTTATTTGCTTTTGTTTTGGAGCTTAAACATATTATAATCAGTGCTGCAGAAATGTATACTTCTCATTGATCTGACCTTTTTACATTTTCCATAGAATCAAACGTCATTGCTGGTAGAGACCATAACTGCAGTAAGCATCAATGTATTTGTATAAGTTATAATGAACTGCTGTTTTGACCTGAGTTACACTAGAATACTGCCCAAATCCTTATTGGTAGCTGCTTCATAATATACTTTAACCAATTTAGCTGAATACAGAGTGTACAGCTGCAGTCAAAAGTAGAGCAAAAGCAGATTCTTTGGGTGCACTGTTACGCAGAAGAAAATGGCAGTATCCTGTTGTGACAGAAAGGTGGCTTCAATGATCATTTGTATTGTATATTTTTTGTATCGTGAGGAAAAATACACATTTCCCTTTTATAATTTGCCTTTTTTGGCTAAGAAATTGACAGCATATCATAGCTCCCATTGTCTCTGTTTCATAATACTTGGTCTTATTGTAATGCCTACTGAGAAATTGTCAAATGTGATAAAATCCTGACGCGATGACAATGGTTAGCCAAACTTGCATGGATTTGCAGTTTGAGTGAATCTGTTTTGTAATTATTGTCCCTGGCTTGCAACCTTAACTCCACATCTGAGCACCTTAACATGTTGAGCTAAATATTTCTCTCTCTCTCTCTCTCCCTCGGTAAATAGGTATGTTGATATATGGTGATGGAGGAGTTGGGGCTTTGCTAGCTGTTGTGACAAAAGGGTCACGCTGTAATGCCACTGATGCTTAATGACTTTTCTATAATGGTCTTTTAAGTCATTACATTAGCCTTGGGGAAAAATATGTGAAAAGAAATGGTATTTTCTAACATCCTTTGGTGTATTTAGTGACATTGGGATCTAGATGCGTCTGTTTTTGTTTCTTGCTGGTATGTATTTTTTTTTCATTTTGTTAATGTTCTGTTTCAACTACAAAACAAACCACAAATAAACTGTTCAATTAACCTTAATTCTGGCGTTCATTTGCACTTATTTAAAAACCTTCATTCCATCGGCACCAGCCATTGTTGGATTATTTTAAGACTCTGATGAGATGGTGAGACACTTTCTGATGATCTGTCCGTTACTTACCTGTGCGACTTAAGAGTAACTGAGGTCAAGGACAATAACTATGCAAGTGTTAAAATGCCACATTAAGAGGCTGAAAAGCACCGGTAGTAATATAAATTGGGGCGGGGGGGGGGGGCACTGTGTGGCACCCTGGATAAGTACTGTACCTATGATTGGGACCCTATTTCCTCAGTGTCCGTCACTTTGGATAAAAGCATCTACTAAATAGATTAATGTAAATATCAGCTACCGATTTGTCCTTTTATCCAGTATGCACTGGATTATTTTAGATATTTAGGCCTATATAAGAATACATATTACAACAGTACAATACATAACCGAGATGTTTCACATACGAAGCTTAAGTATATATCTGTATGTTTATGCACATGCATGCTTTTGTGATAATTGATCAAGAAGAAATTGTTTTTTAAAATATTTCACACACTCCATCCAGAGTATATAAAACCAAAATGATACAGAAAAAAGAAATGCAAATGATATTGCTTCAGATCTAAATTACTTATTTTTTACCTTTAAAATTTTTGTCCATTAGATTATGATTTGCTTGATGTACTTAGAAAGTTACAATAGTAAAAGATTATTTTGTTTTGGATCTAGTTGTATCGCATACAACTGTCCACTCAGGGGCAGTATTACTCTTAAAAAGTGTCCAAGCAGTACTGATGAGTATGTTGCAAACTTTCATGTCATTTTAGGATATAGTGTATTTACCTCTTGGATTACCGTTTGATCAAAGTCAAACATTAAAACTAAATTCAGTGTATTTAAAATCCAGGAAGGGATTTTTTTTTGTACAATTACTAGACCACTTTTTTTTTTTAAATCGGCAAAACATGTTTTGTATGTTTTGCTATACTTTATATAGCACAAAACTCTGCCTGGGATATCAGCGAAAATACAGGGTCAATGCACTGTAAAGAAAGTAGGTCATATGAACTTCACTGAAGATAGGGAGACTTCAAAAAGGAGAGAATACCTCCATCTGAGTCATAGTGTTCTGTATCTACCCCCAGAGGTACTACAGAAACACAGATACTGAGTGTTTTATGCTCTTAGTAAAGACTACATTCTTTGTAAGCCTGGGGGTCTTATTTAGGTACCACCGGAAGGATCACGTGAAGATGTTTTCTGCAAATATGTGTGTAAATCTTACCATGGCCTACTTAGCTAGATTACCACAGATCATAACAAAGTGAATAGCAATGGTTTAATGTGTAGTGTCTTAGAGGTTGTTTAATACTAAGAATTACTTCATGCTCATCTTTTTAAGTGTTGTATTAAGACCAACTCCCTCTGCAATGGGAAACAATACTGTAGGTGTTAATTTTACATGTACTGTAAGAATCAAGCTTTTTTCTATATCTCTGTTAGCTAATGTGTCACAGTGGAAAGCCAGAAGCACAGGAAGTGGTCTCTGTGTTCTTGGTTGTTCCTTTGTAATTGTTCAGCATGGTACAGCGGAAAGCACTTATCAGGAATTTCCTCTCTAAAAGGAAAGCCGTTTTTTTTTATATGCAAATATTTACAGACCAGGGACAACTGGGAACTGAAGAGAAACAGGGTATTGAGTTTGTTGGCATGCCCAACATTTTTGTGCATTTAAACACATGCATACTACTCATTAATGAAAATTTTATGCTACGAAAACTGCTATTGCAACAAGTAAGAGCTTCTAACAGGTAAGTTTCAGGTCCTATTCTTGGTTAGAGGCTCTAAAATAGACACCCTTATCTGCGTGAGTTTTGCGGAAGTAGAGTGGTATTGTATTTTCCAATTTTAAAGCATCATTTAGAAAAAAAATGCAAAAAGTTTTTCAAACTGCTTTCTGTGTAGCACACTGCTGAAAATGAAGGAATATGCAGTCTAAATTTTGACTATTTTTATTAGATGTTTTGTAATAGATAAATAACCAGTGTTCCAACATTATTTTAGGGTTTATTTTCACATATGTTATGCCTAGAAGATTTTGTTATCAATTTTCAGCATCCCGATTAATAATATTTCAAATTTATTCATTTCTAGAATTGAGATCTTACTTTTAGCTTTTTCTAATGAAACGGTACACGTAATTTTCTTTATCACTTTTTAGCTCTTCACTCTGTGCACGAACCAACTTAATATGAGTATGTATATATAATATTTACTGTATATACTAGAATAAAAGATGTATTCTGTTACTCTGGTCATTTACTGTACTGTTTGGATACTGGTGCTATTATTTTGTTCAGATTCAGTTGGAATTTTTAAGTTTTGCTAGAGGGGTACTTGCTTCTTGCCCAGGATTTGTGGGATTTGTATCTTGCTGTGGCCAGAAGGATTCCATAAAATTCCACAAGTGATCATGATGGTTACTTTGTTGGACAAATAGGGTAACAGTGTACTACTAATATTTTTTCCCCAGATTTCATTTCCGGGGGTTCTATGGCTATACAATTGAATTGTGTTTTCAATCCTGTTGTATTGGGATACACCCAGTTTCCTGTGCGTGTAGTTTTGTGGAATTTGGAGAATTCAGAAAACACAATGACAAGAATTACTGAAGGAGAACTTGAATTTATGTTATATTCTACATGACATGCACTTATATTTTAAGTTTCTAATGTAAGGTTCACTCTTTAAGGTTCACTCCCACAATGCACTAGCAACAGGAAGGTTGCCCTTATTTATTTATTGTTTGTTTACATAGTTATCTGTCTATTGATTTGTCTATTTGTTGAACATACCATTAAAAATAGGCTGCTTAGAAAGGAACACAGGCTTTGTTAGCGGAGCAGGGTATTGTCAAGGGTTCATACCAGCAAATACAGAAGCAGCTTAGATTTTAAGATCCAGTTGTTGAACGTCACTCAGCTCCTGTCACAGTGGAAGTGGATAAGCCACAGCTGAGGTTCCGGAACATTTTGGGGCATGGAGTGTAACATAGCTATCATAGCTGCTCCTTCTACACCATCTTTACAAATTTCACCCTGACGTCTCTAACACCTGCAGTGAGTTTCAGTAAGGACTGCCTCATCCAGAAGAACTAATGTGCAAGCTTAATGAGAACATCACTACTGGGTGCAGTCAAGTCGATGAATGAACGCATTCGTATATCAGTGTAACACACAGAATCTCTTATTTTTTGCGAAAATGGGCAAACTGCTTTTGTGTTAGTAATTAATGGAAGCTCTGAAAGTTCAGTGTGTATTTTCTGTCTTGTTCCTGTTTAATGTTTAAATGATTTGTCTGTGCCATGTATTGCATCCGCATTTGACTAATCTGGTTCTTTTATGTGAGAATGGCTGCAATCTCTTTTGTATGGGATATATCTGAAGAGCAAATTTTCAAAACTCAGTAAATTTTTTGTTGCTTTCGAGATAAGAACCTAATGTTACAGTATTAGGAAGCAAAATTCACTCAGTCCTTATGTAATCCGACAAAGAACTTTTGTTAAATTTCCAAAACTCACTAAAGTCTACAGAAATGGTAAATACTTATGAACTCATCCACAGCACATTTCCCATGGACTAAGTTTGGAGATTTGCTCTTCATTCTACATAAGAGATGGAAGTGCCTTAAATCTGTATCAAAGTTATTACTACTAATTGCTGTAGGACTCAAATAACGTAAACTCTTAATGTGTCCCTGGCTGATGTTCTACTCCTAAACGTGTTAGTTTGAATACTGTCCTATTTTAGTGTAACTAAACTCTAGTGCATGAATGAATTGTGGGCAGTTCATAAGGCTTAAGTTAAATGCCACTTTCTCTAGCTCCCTTGAAACTTTTCATTCTGCAAAATGTACCTGAATCACATGTGATCAGGACACAACATCCAGACAGCCATCCGATCCGGAGCAATGAAAATATCCATGTAGTGCAAACTTCTAACTAGGACAGTATCCTGTTCGTCCAGATACTTTTTAATGTTCCACTGGTTTGTAAGTGACGGGAAGATCTGCTTTGAAATTGCTGCCGATCCTTTGAAATCCTCCTCCACGGATATCAACATGCCGCGGAATGGTTTAAATCACCCGGCAACAGGACATAAGCACATAAACCGTTACCATTGCAAGAGTTTATTTGGATGCTTTTACAGATGTAATATAACTCATTATTTCAAAAAAGTGTTGCAAAATTACAAAAGAAAATGAAGTAGGACTGGTCGCTGTAAACGTTTTAAAACAATTAAACAATTACAGCTGCGTGCAACAGACATAAGTCGCAGCAAGCGCAGCTTCTCCAGTTGCACCGCTGGGTATAAGCGCCTGACTTGTTGTCAACATTCATTCCCTGCTGCCTTTGCAAGCATAATTCAACCAAGTGCGATCTCAGTCACTGAGAGAGAGAGAGAGAGAGATAGAGAGAAGGTATCTTCATACCACATCTATAGATTAAAGTCATTCCTCATGCATATTCATAAGCAAAGCACACGTCACGCTGGCAAAACACCACAAGCCGCCTGCTGAAACGCAACAAAACGATTCCACCTCAGGGTCACTGTTTTTTTTTGCTTGTTTGTTCCAATAGACACAATATAATGTGCATGGAGCTACTGAGTGTTAATTGTACTGCATATCCTGATTATGCCTATCATATCATGTAAAAAGGCGTGTGTTTACTTTTCATAAGTATGTTTCTCTGGTGTTACAAATTCGTATTCCCCCTAATGAGAAAACGTTGACATTTTGCGTCAACGATTTATCTTTTCACAGATGATTCATTGCGAAATTGCGTTGAATGCATTCATATTTCTAACATTCTCTTATTTAATATGGTCTCTTACTCATAGTAATTTATGAAAAACTCCCCCCCCCCTGTGCTGAATGTGCCTCCCTCCTTACTCACTGTGGCTTTTCTTGCTGCAGTAAGTCAGCTTACAAACTGCCTTGTTGTACCCAAGGATTTGTGGGTATTTTCAGGAGCTGCTTCCCTCTTTGAGGGAGAGACGTAGCTGAGGAAGTGAGACTCAGTTTCTATGGTGGTTTCTTACCCATTCAGACTTTTTTTTTCTCTTCATTTGCTGGTCCCAGGATCTGTATGACACTGCGTGTTTGCGCGGAATTTCTCGACTTTATGTCTTACACGAAAGAGCACTAGATAGAACATCACCCGTGGTTTGCCACCTGCTCTGTTTGATGCTGATTTGCCATGTTGGGCTGAGTAAAAAAGTTGTTCTGTCTGAAACTCAGACAAAGTGTATTTCCCTTCTTTCATCAGTGTTTAGGGTCTTCGAAGCAGAGCAGTGACACAGCGGCTAAGCAGATCTGACTGTCTCACACGTTTGGGAATGTGACTGTCAAATCCTACCTTTGCACTATGTGTGGATTTTGTGTGTTCTTCCTGTGTCACGTGCACCAAAAGCCACTTAAAGACACACATTTGCAGGGGGAAAAAGGGTAGAAATTCCAAACACACAGCTTGTGCCACCCTACTTGCCTAAATTACATTTTTATTTTTAATATTGAATTTTATTTTTAAATGTACTGGTTTTCACTGACGCCTTGTACTGTACCTGTGCTGGGTAAGTGATTGTCAGATGGACGGTTGGGTCGTTGTCAGTCACTTAGCAGTGGCTTTGATTAAAAAAAATAAAAAGAAAAACAATTTCAATCTTAACCTTAATCTTACTATTAAAACATTCTCTAAGTGGTGGTGTGATGGATTACATATTATTAATACTGTCATTAAATAGGTCCAAACCCTTCACAATAACTCAGCTAAGCCATTATTTGGCATTAAACACTACAGAGTAATTTAAAGGCAGCAAATAATAATTCTTCATAACTCTTTTTAAGTTTTATTGTCAAATTGGGATTTTCTGAATGCACATTGACCGTGATATTTATGGTATATAGGATTTGTAATAATACATTACAGGCCTTTTTTCACAGAGCAAGCTTACAAAGGCATCATGATGTTATTTGTGTACCGTTGAGATGAAAAAAGTTAAAAATATATTGAGGAAGGCAGTAAGTCTAAGGGGTAAATATTGTTAGTGATTTATATGATAATGGGATATACTTGTCATATTTGGATTTCAAGAAAAATATATATTATTGAAGCGGAATATCTGGAAATATTTACAAATGAGGCACTGTCTGTATAGGAAGCTGGATGTGAGCGACAGTCATCCAATTGTAATTCTAAGGCTGCCACGTGAATCTCATAAAGCATCTGTATTTTATAGAAGCACTTAAATAATTGGTGACAAATGCAGCAGCTTAAAACAATACGGCAGCAAGATCTGGGCAGTACTACCTACTGTATGATGATGATTGGATGAGAGTTTGGTCAAATGTGGGCAAGGAACACTGGAGAGGCGGAAGACAAAATTATTCTATATAAAGTTGTTATCTGATCTAAAGTTGTTATCCACTGATATCATTGGACGCATGTCTAGACTTAATGGTATGGGATTATTTTGAAATGATTTTTGTTGGCGATGTCAGACAGAAGCAGGGACGTATCTCCATATGATCTGGGAATGTTCTCTGATATCCTTTTGGGTGTAAAACACTTGAATTGTTGGAGAAATGATTGGATTTGACTCTACCCATTCAAAACCGACTCCTCGAGCCTCCTTGGTGATAAAGCAGAAATGCCGCTTATACCAGACTAAAAGTTTACCCTTTTAATAGTTGGTATTACTGCTGCTTTTAGGATGATGCTATATGATTGGAAATGTTCTAGAACCTCTGA